ATGAATCTCTCCAAGCTCCTCTTTGCCATCTTGGGTTTGGCGACAATCTGCTCCTCCTCAGCGATGCCATTAGCTCACATCCAGCGGGATCTGGAACCCCATCCAGAGCAAAGCTTTGTGCTCTCTTGTGCTCAATCAGTAGTTGGGGCAGAAGGGCCTTCGGCGAAGTATAAACTACAATCCTTGTGTACCACAAACGAGGGAAAACCACTTTGCTCAAAGCTACCTCTAGACCCGTATGTGTTCTTCTCTCACTCGCCTTCCTTATCCCTTTACTTTTCTTCTGGTTTTGCTATACCATGATACTCTGTGGTACGTCTGGTATCGATTATTGGCGTCACTTTTCTTGTTACTATGGGACGTAGCCACTATCCCAGACTCCCAGTTTGAAAATACCTAATTGACTGGCTCAACTGGACTCCTATAGTTACTTCAAGTATCGCGATGGCCACCTCGAAAGAGCATCTGATGGAGAAATTTCCTCGCAGTGCACTTGCAAATTGAACACTGACGCAGGAGGCCTGTCGGCGGTGCTCCAGTGCACATGCAACAACGTCTTTGTTTCCCTGGCCATTGGTAAGTGTCTCCAGTCCATTAAGGAGCTTAGATTATATTGGCCCTCGTTGAATAGTCCTGACATATGGTATTTTGCCACAGGCGATTACATTATCAACTCTGGCGGTTTTCTGATGTGCGATGGTATCAAGGGCGAAGAGTGCAGCGGCTCCTGAAGTTTTCTACCCTTATGAAGATGAGCAAGACGAACCAACGTTATGGCTTCACCTTCGGTGGTCCAGGTTTCATGTATCCCGCTAGCCACTAACTGAGAACATGGGAGGGGTAGCTTAGATCGGGGTGCGTGAATTCCTTATGGAGGGTCATATGTTGTCAAACGGAGTGGTAGTTTTCGAGGTCAAGTGTGATATTGCAGTACATAGCCAAATATGTGGAATAGGGGGCTGGTTAGGCACCTCTTTACGCACCTAACCAATCCTCACTTCAGCTACTTGCTTAGCCAAAACACGTATTTTTCGTTCTTCGAACTAACACGCAATAATGCCAGCCCGATATTAAAGTCAAAGTACGTGATGTAGTTATGCTTATAAGGTCAGCATCCAGATTCATCTTGCTACCTAGTCGTGATTATCCTCCTTCTGCGGCTTTACCCAATGAAATAAAACATCTCCTAAATGTGGTGACTAGGGTCTTTTGACGCACATCCTATCATAGATAGGATATTCTCAGCGAGTACTAAAGTGTCCGAACCGAAGGAAGCGAGAGCAACACCTTTAAATGACGAAAACCGATATTCGGTGCTCAAGTAACGGCCTGTCGCCAGCCCGGTATTATTGGCTTATATTTGCATCATAGAGACATCTTGATTGCTCTTGAATAGTGTTATATTTAGGGTCCATAGCATCTATTTATTCCATATTCTATTGAATCTACAGCAGTAAGAATGATAAAACCAAGAAGTGACTGCCTACTTCGAGAGTTATGAAACTGGGCAATCTACCCGGCGTATGTAGGATGGGGCGCACAAAACCACAAGACTTCCTTTAACTAGTAGTAGTCTCCCACAGCTTCATTGAGGGCCCCTTCTGCCTGGTAATGAGGACATGGGCACCAATGATCTTGGTGCCTTGGAACTCTGTGTGGGCATGGACACCAATGGTCATCTAGGGGGCTGACCAATTGACCAGCCACGGATGATCGGCACCTAGATGGTTGGTTGGCATCGTTGGTTTTATGATCAAAGGTCTCTGCGAGCGGAGACGGACTATCTGATGTCTTTGCGGAAGATTGAGTTGGCGTCACTTGTCGGTGCAACTCCTTGGGAGAAGCATCTTGAATTGCCTTCTGGTTGATGGGAACCGACTTGGATGATTCTTTCCCACTCATTATGACGGTAGTTGAACTGCTACTAGTTTCTGTAGTAATACTGGCTTTTGAGTAGATTCCTTATGTACGTTTTGTGCTGTAGAGAGCCTGGGTATCTTAGGAATGAGCAAGCTTTTATACCTTTCGTGGATCTTATCAAAGTCTTTTATTAGATCGTTAGACTGGAACAGCTCTCTTTGTCTTACATTTGACCTCCGGGTCAAAGATCGATGTAATTGTAAATCCTTTATTAACATGTTAGGTATGAAGGGCATTGTTACAACCATCAAGACGACGTAATTATCTATTGTACCCCAAAGGCGTTTTTCTTTCACTCGCTGTCCGGCCTATATACGACTGACAATGCCTATGTCCACATCAATGTTGATAGCAACAATTCCTTGCGTATTTAGGACGAGCCTGTACCGGGCTGGTGCAATCTACGTCGTTAACTTCGTTCGTCCTTAATACTGCTTGGTTTACGAGTGGTACATATTTACGGGAGGTCGAATATCGTGGTCTGGCCGATATTCCAAGTTTTCCTGATCATGTGTCTTACCTGCTGATCCGCGACTACACGGGTGGAACAAGTTGCCGACTTGAATTTCGAACTCTCATGTGGTAGTAAGATATACCTGGGAACCTGCAGCTCCGAGTAGTTGTGACATGCTCGTTTTCATCTTTCATCCAGCTTTACTTTACCTAAGTGAAGAAGCCCTGCTACGCCGGTGAAAATATGACTCTTGCCTAAGTAGCTACAGTAGTCGAATGGTCTCGATCGCATATAGTCATGATGTCTTGTACCAAGCGCAACAATACCCTTGTTCATACTTTCCGTTTCCCTACAATGTTGTAGCAGTGTGTTTCCTATCAACGTCACCGTTATCTTGTTTCTTAGTAGTATAAAAAACACGGGGTTTTTCTCCTTCATTGTCATGGAAGCCTCAACCACCACGGTGCACGGCAAATCGTGTAGAATCAACCACCTGCTTAAGATTAACCAACAGACTAAGTCCTGTGGTATCATAGGCAAACACTCAAGAATCCAACAATCCACATAACCAACGACCTGATGGTGTGGCTACCAGAGACGGTGGGGCAACGAATTGCCTTCGCCATAACTCTCGTATACGGGTCCATCAGCGCCTGGGGAATTTCAAACCGTGTCACATGGTTTTTCGTGATGGCCCTGCTGCCCTCCGTGGCGCGCGAAGTCATCGTGAATCCGGAGGGGGCAGCAAACTGGGTCGCGCACAAGGTGCTGATACCGATCCGGCTCTACGACGCCGTCTCGGCCAGGCTTTTTGCTGTCGTGACCTGGTGCGCTGCCGTGGGGGCCTGGTTATTTGCCGCCGGACCCGCGCCCTGGCCGCAACCACCGCACGCGGTTCCTGAAGTCTGGCCCTTCCACGACTGGGACCCTCTGTTGCAGCAGCAACCGCCGCCGGGGGGGTTCCCCGCGCCTCGTGGTCATCGCGTGGAGAATGTGCACCACTGCGCTTGTCTTGACGAGAGAGCGGAGGCGCTGGAGCGCGAGCTGCTGCTGCAGCGAGCTGCCTTCTTCGACCTTCAGGATCAGGCTCAGGATGATCGAAGGCAGCTGCAGGAGGAGATTAATCTGAGGCTTAACACGCCGCGGAATGGTTTCGTCCAGCAGCGCGAGATGCTTGCGCAGGTCGCGGCGCTCCAGACTGACCTGGCGCGGACGCAGGCCGAGCTGGCGCAGGCGCGTGGGCTGATCAGGCAACACCTAGGCCAAGGGCAGCCAGGTCAAGGATAAGACCTGGTTAATTACAACCTGGTCTAAATCTGCCTATCGGCGAGGCAAAGGGGTGAAGGGGTAAAGGGAGGGTTGCTAACTGCAATTGTTTACATGTTCTATGTTGAGGTAGTCTATTGAATAAATAGGTTAAATTGCTGATGGCACAGATTAAAACTGAAGCTAATGGGACACAAGAACGAAATCGCTGGGTGTACTACCTAGTAGAACATTGCCTCTTGTCAAAATGAAACACACAAAAGCAGGAGAAAATGTGCTTAAGCACAGTAATAATACAAAAGAAATAAGATCATTCATTTCGTTCGACCGGAGGGGCATACTTTTTCTTAATTCGAAGAAGATACTTTAAAACTACACATGTGTGACTTTATATAGGTGATGCAAGATCTGTTTCTGAGACAGTATTAGAAGATTTGGCGACATAAAGTAAAAGAAAAGAAGAAAATACTATAAAACAAGTAGAATTAAAAAATAGCAATAATTCATGCTTCTCACTTAGAAACGAAGGGGGCGAAGGGGAAAAGGGGGGGAGGGGAAGCCACCGATATATAGGGTCGCTGGTGTATCACCGCTACTGTAGTATACTATCTTACATAGACCTCCGATAGACATCCAGATATACCTACCCTATTAGAGCAGGCTTATATCAGTCCATATGTTTACGCCAAATATCCAAGTAACTAATCGCACAAACTAGTTAACTACTTAGCTCCTATGGCAATATCTGTGTTTTAGGAGTCCTTCCATATACATCAGGAGGGGCAACGGAGAGCTGCTGTCAGACATAAGGGGTGATAATTGATGTGTGTATTGTTGTTGTTCCGAAGTGTGCTGTAGTACGCCTCTGCTGTTGTTTATACTAGGTGGCTAAATCACATGATAACTGGGTCAAGCGTGCTGTAGCACACTTCCAGAGGGACCCTACAAGAGCTGTATTGGGGGTAGCAAAAGATGTTGTATTAGGGATGGTTTGTGACAAGTCTAAACTATTGCAGATCTGCAAGTCATAGTACAGCCCCATAACCCCCAATTACTGTATACTACTACGTAGTAGGTGTGTTATAACACACCTGGAGTATTCGACAGCTGCAAGAGCAAAATACCTAGTACTATATGGATCTGCCAGTAAGGGGCGAGCTAAACAAGGTCCGAACTATAATAGCGCCTCGAAGGGGCTCATGGATAGGGGCTACAGCTAAGATAATGTAGTGGAGACTGGTTAATGCATACATACTACGGTAGATAAGGGATGACTGATAGCGGATAAGCGCACAGCTTGAATATAAGCACTTGTAAAACAAAATTTCTCCATCAATCACAAGCGGCTTCAGCTTCGTCTGCCCGGCTAGCTCAATGGCAGAGCGCGAGACTTTTAACCTATTTCATAAGGTCGGAATCTTGAGGTTGCGGGTTCGACCCCCGCGTCGGGCTGCTTTTTTAATAAAAGCGAGTGGCAGCTTCATCTTTTGCCATTCCATCTTATGGATGCTTGGAATGGCCTAGAATGCGCGAAAGTCGCGGCCAAAACTACCCAAGTAGCCTCAGGTACGGCTTAGGACAGTATGGCAAGCCTTTACGCTTAACTGTGTTTAGGCCTAATTACGCTGTAATGCCAGGCAAAGTCCGATAAAAACCATACATATGTCACGCTTGGGCCACTGAGATCCGTATGGTTTTTTCCGGACTCTGCCTGAATGCCCGAGGTACGCGTAGGCGCGAAGTACTGAAGTGTAACGACGGTTACTGTGTCGGATTTTTTTTGGGGGGGGAAAAAATGTTACGTAGTGCCCAGGAGTACTATGTACTCCTGGCATTACGTAAGCCTACCCCAGACTAGCCAGGAACCATATAAGAGTTTCTGGCAGTCCTTTATAGTACTTGAATTTTATACGCTTTATATTATAACTCCATTAACCTTATACTGGTAATTCTATAAGCAGAGCATTACAAAGCAGTGCTTTGCATCTTCTTATATACGTTAAGCAGTATCCTTATTGGGCACTGCTTAGTTAATGCGAAAACCTGGCCCCAGCTTTTTATTCGTATTAGCTTAAGGCTTATTAATGCACATTGCTCCTATAAAGCTGCTGTACCTATGAACCGGCTGTGGCCCCTATTTGCTGCCAGCTGCGGCACCGGCCGGCTCCGGCTTTTATGCCTCTTATAAGCATACTTCGGGGGTGAAGGAAAGTGGCAAGCAAAACCTGGCTTTTATGCCCCTGAATTATTAAGGGGCCTTACGTATTATACATTACTGTACTCTATGGCGTATTTTGAAGTAGTCTTATTATGGCCGCTTACTTTTGACCGCGACCTTCGTAAAGATGCCGTTTTTCATCCCCTTTCGGAACATATTAGGTGTGAGCAGATGGGAAGCATGTAGAAGCGCCATAGTTTGGGAATCCGCTATCTGAGCCAGCTAGGCTATTAGCACGAATGAGCGCTGACTACTCGGAGCTAAACATTTCAAAATACGCGCGCCAAGCTGCGGCTGATCGCCTTGCATGATCTGCCTTCGGATCGATCGGTGCGACTTCTGCTACTAATTACATGATCAACAAGTTGACCTCTGCTGCCTGAAGGCTTGAAGTCACTTTGGCTTGACAGATCCCTAGTTCATTTACACGCGACGATGCCTTATGGGTATGGGAGTGGGGGACGAGGGCCACCTCCGCTACCACCACGGAGCCGATCTTCCATGAGCGGAGGAGGGGGGCAGCCCCTGACCGCAAGCCCTCCGCCTCTCCCTCCTCGGCCACCGGGTTTTGGGTTCCAGCCTATCGGGCAGGCCAATATTGCTCATCATGTGCCCCCTTCGTTCTACCAACAACAGCAGGAAACGTTAGGGAGAACATCGTCACCGAGTGATGTCTCTGTTGATCAGACTGTTCCATTCCAGTCCGGCTCCCCGGTATTTCCTTACGCGACACAAGGTCCTTTATATCCAGTTCCTGGCTCCGTTACCCATACAGCGGGCCAGAAATTATCGGACATATCCCACCACTTTCCAAATGGTATCATCCCTCCACCGCCGCCTAGACCACCTCCTAGACTGGCCGAACCAGAATCATATTCACCCCAACCCCGTATAGATCACAACGGAAACAACCACCAGAATGATTCAGTCCAATTCAGCCCAGCCCAGGTAGTTAACACCCAGATTCCATCACCAGTAGCGAGTCCTATAGTTGTAGACCAAAGCCAGGCACCCGTGACCCAAGAGTCGACTACCCAACCTCAGCTGCTAGGAACCACAGAACTGAGTAAGCATGCTGCCATTGATATTCCTTCGGCTATTCCATACGGAGAGTATATAGAAAGAGAGGCGCGTCGGGAGACAACCGTGTCAGCACAAGAGCACGAAATGGACCTATTGAATGAGACACTGGAGCACGTAAGACTCTCCATTTCCGGAGGAGTTGCTGCAAGTGGTGTTGCTGCCAGGACAGATCATAAACCGGTGGATACAGAAACCTCGCAGCTACCTACAGTATCAGCACCTGGACCACCAGCACCAGCTTCAACTCAAACCCCTATTTCGCAGGAGGCAGCAAACCCACCAACCGGTTCTGCAAGGGCTCGTGGGGCCAGAGATCCGCAAGCAGTGAGCGAATGTATCGGCATCTGGGCCGATTTCAAGACGACTTGGTACACCCATCCCGACTCGCCGGAGTATTGCATCTGCTCGAGCTGCTACGAGGACTACATCCGAGGCACCCAGTTCTACGACCATTTCAGAGGATCTATCTGCGATGACGGGAAGCCCCGAATGTGCGGCTTCAGCAAGCCGCGGATGAGAGACGATCTCTTCAGATCCGCTGTTGCCACAGGGTCACTTGACGCTGTAGTTCGGTACATGGTCCTGCGTTCTTCGATCCCTGAGTGCAAGGGGTCTGGTGGAGTAAACGGCAGTGCCGGTATACAATGGTACAGGCCGAAGGATCTCGCTATTCCGGCCATGGTGATCTGCCGGGCTTGTTACGAAGACCAGGTCCTCGTGCATCGGGAATTCGCTACGAACTTTGAGCTCAGTGCTTTCCCGCACCCCGCTGATGAGACAGTGAGTATCCTTCAGGAGCTACTTATGCCCCTTTTCTGTCCTGTATTCAAAGGTTCCTCCATCTTAAATCTATTTGATGACCTTGAAATTGGTTCTCAACATCAAGAGGGGCGTTGTTATAAAGAGGTTCACTAACTGTATACGCTGCAGTGGTCGTGCGACATGTCCGTCCCCTATATCAGCAGAGAGTACAGCGTGCGGGCCAAGTCCCGCGACTGGGCCTCGTTCGTCCGCGAAGTCTCGGCCCGCCTGTCCTTGAGCCCGTGCCCGAAGGAGCAGACGATCTACCCGGACGGCGGCGGCAAGAGGTGGTTCACCCCCGTCGACGGCCCGCAGGGGTTCCTCGTGTGCGCGGCCTGCTTCTGCGACTACGTCCTGCACACCGGGCAGGAGCCCAAGTGGCGCGCCGTCGCCGGCGAGCTGGTCCCGGTCTTCGGCGTCTCGGTCCGCTGCTGCCTCGGCCAGCCCAACACGGCGGCGCTGGCCGGCCGCACGCTGGAGACCGGCGATTACGGCCTGTTCTGGCGCGCCGTCGACGCCGTCTGCCGCGAGCCCGCCTGCGAACGCAAGGGCATCCCCGCCCGCGAGGCCAAGTGGTACACGCTGCGATCGAACCCGAGCGGCTTTGGCGTCTGCGGCGCGTGCTATGCGACCAGCGTCGCGACGTACGGGGCCGCGGACCTGTTCGTGCCCAAGACGGACGTGGCGCCGGACGCAACGGTGATCTGCAGCCTCAACCCGGCGATGCCGCGGTCCGGCAGCTACACGAGCAGGTTCCTCCTAATGATGCTCACCAGGGACCCGGGGCCCCTCGAGCGCTTCGCCAACGAGTACGCCTACATCCCGCTCTGCCGCGGGGCCAAGCAGCTCGCAAACGCCCGGTGGTTCGGCTGGAGCCAGTGCAAGATCTGCCCGGAGTGCTACCACCAGTTCGCGCGGGGCACGGTGCTCGCGGGGGCGATGGCCCTGCAGGGGGCGCCGGTCGAGGGCTACGCGATGTGCGAGCTGTACAGCGCGCGGATGCGCGGGCTCTACCTAGCGGGGTGCGCGGCGGAGCCGCCCGACCCGAGGCCGCTGCTGGAGGCGTCGGCGCAGCGGCGCGCGGTCTGGTTCGAGACGATGCCGCGCGTGGAGCAGTTCATCCGGGACCAGAACCTCGCGCTCGGGAGGCAGCAGATGCTGCAGAGCCAGAGCTCGTTCTACCTGCACGTCGGGCGGCAGCACGAGGCGGTGATGCAGTCGGGGCTCCGGTACGACGTCCCGGGCCTCGGGTCCGGGTTCAGCAACCAGCTCGAGATCACGGGCGCCGAGTACGGCAGGCAGGCGGCGCGGGTCGGGTCGCAGATCGCGGGCGGCGGGTGGGAGGGCATCAAGATGCTGGAGAAGAGGTGGAATGCGGTCGAATAGATGCAAAGTAAAACCGACCAGTGATTCAGCGAAGTTTTGCTTATTGTGGCCCGGAGTTTCACTGCTGCCTACTATATACCGTAGTGTATCCGTGCGGGCTGCCCTTGTTGATTTGAATCCCGTCGGCATCAATCCCCCAATCCCCAGCAATATTAGCAACATTGAAAGGCTAGTTACGAAATGGGTTCGTCGGAGATGATTACGGATCACCTACTATGTAACACATTCACCACATAGTTGAGTTGGTTATGTGTGTTGTCAGGTTGTCAGCAGATACGGTCAAGTTTTGGTGGGATCGTATGCATTACCGAGTCATGGCTGCGCACTAGGTCGGGTATCTACAAGTCTAAGGGCCCCAAGTCTAACTAGGGGCCCTTCCGGGGATCAGTGAACGGGTGACAGAATATAATTAGAACAGCGACTGGGTCCTGCCTGGCAAGAGAACTCCTACGCTACGGTGAACCCTACTTAAATAGGCTTAGCTTCAGCATACAACGTGGTACCCTAGTCGGCAGGGCAGCCTGAGACCCTGAGACCCTGAGACCCCCAGACCCCCTTCTGCCCCTTTGAGGCTTTGCCGCTTCCATCGTTCCCAGCACTGACCCTTTCTACCTATGTAGGTACCGTAAGTATTCATGAAAGCGCGTTATCTGCCCAAAACACTCCGCTAAAAATAATGAATTGCGGCACAATGGACTGTAGTTGTCTTAGCTGATAGAAAGTGTCGGGGCTTGGGTGCCCGTGGCAGCCCGTGGTAACAGATAGCTGCGAGACAGATGAATCCTGGAGGAAGGAACCATTTGAATTATTGATATATTAGTTGATATATTAAGGCCATAATCGGCAATGATTAAAGTAGGGGGGGAAGGAAGAAGGGCCCAAGTGGATAGTTACCTAGGTACCTATAGCCGGTATCACGTATCACTGCGTTATCCGCCCACGTACAGAACGTTTCCTGTCCTAG